TAAGAAGTATTACAGTCAGACAAAAACACTGGCATGAAGATACAGTTGGATTATCAAAGTAGTACAGCTGAGAATATTCTGTCTACTTTCTAGAACTGTCTTCCAATGAAATGGAAACTTGCCGAAATACTATATTTGCTCAGAAGCTTATATCTAATAGAATCACATATAAACCAAAAATTGCATTTATTGTATAGTGAACCATTGAAATATGACTTAATTTGACAATACAACTCTGCCATGCACTACTAATAAAGTAAATACGGTTATTAGAAATAAAAAGCTTGTTATGAAAGTTCAAGATGAAGTTAAATTAAATTTTGCAATACTAGGAATATTTGCAGTGCAATATAATAATATAATATTATTCCATGTAAACTCACTTAATTAAATTTGGAACAAAATTCATTCTGTTCATTCAATTCTCAAATAAGTAACAATATATGACTTGTCATCCAGTAAAATTGGGCCACTGAAATCAACTAAGTTGCATCTGCCATGCATCAAACTAAGTTGCATCTGCCATGCATCAAACCAAGAAAAGAAGGATTGTTAATTTGCTTACTTTAAGGTAATCACAATGTATGACAGTACCAGCTCGCCGTCTTTTCTTAGCTTGCACTGACTCCTTGGGAAACTTCAAAACAAGAGATCGACGCTTCAAGTACTCAGCGCTGAAAACAAAAATATGATTAAAAATAAACTTTAAATACTACAAAACAAAATTGTTCCCACTGCGGTTTTTTTCTAAAAAGGTACATGAATATATAGAGAGCAGTTTGTCATACTGGTCTATAACAGATTTTGCCAGTGTGATCTTAGTTCCTTCCGTTTTCACTAAGTCATCATCATCCATCAATGATTTCTCTTGCTCCTCTTCTTGCTCTTCTGTCATGGCAACCTGGATTGGATTGGACGGTGTAGATTTCTGATACAATGGACACTCCTTATTGGTTCTCATATGACCTATCTCACCACATGCTCCACACTTAAGCTGTAGATACAAAGTAAATGGTAGATTTTAATATTTTATTTACTAAATACATCAATAGAACCTAATTTGGAAACATTACCATAATTCATCAATACAGTCTTTTGTTGAAATTGATCTTGATGCAATATGACCCCTGGAGGTCACACATCCTGGTATTTTCTGGGGTATTGTTTCCTTATAACTGAAATGTTAACTTATCCAGAATATAGAGGTGATAAGGGTTTGTCAAAGTAAGAAAGATTTTAATCAATATTTTGGATTTAGTGAACATTACGATCAACTGTTCGTCACAATTTGAGTGAAGAATTTTTGTCAACTTCGGTCATACTTGGTCACAGATGGGTGGGAGGGGAGGGGAAGGGATCTTAGCAGACAACAAAAAACGACTACTTTGAGAAACGTGACATACATTGACAATGGCAGTACAGCCTACAATTAAATACACTCACTTTCAAATCTGGTTTGAATTTCTTTTTCTTTGGTGGTTTGGGAGGTTCGTTTTTCTCTTTTTCTTGATTTCTTTTGATTCTTCTCAGCTGTTCTTGTATTCTTCTTCTCTCCTTCTTCATTTCCTCTCGGTGTTGTTCATCTTGTAACGCAAACTGGCGACTGTAACCACCAAGAAAACATTCCCAAGAAAGTCAGACCCTGTTTTTTGGTATTCATGAAATTGTTTAATCTTTATTTTAAATCCATTCTGACACTATATAGTTAATGATCAACTGTCTATAATGATCACCTCCATGTAAAGACCACCTGTATATAGTGACCACTTTAGGCAATCCCAAGGCACACATGTAAGTATATAAGCAGCCTGTGTATAAAGACCACCTGCCAAGCTCACCTGCCTATAGTAACCACATCTATATAAAAACAACTTGCCGATAGTGACCATCTCCATATAAAGCTCACCTGCCTATAGTGACAACCTT